TACTGCGCGAATCGTTGCATCGCCCAAGGTACGGATGAACAAGCGGGAGAGGTAACATATCGACGACAACCAAGAATGAGGGTCGTGTTAGTGGACAAACGCGAGCGGATTGCTTTCCGTGGGTAGAAACTCGTCGTGAAAAATGACGTAGCAGCGATTCCGGTGCGCAAACTGCTCGAAGTAATAGTGTGGATGACAGACAGCTACTGCACGAATTCCACGCTTCCGAAATCCCAGCTCCACACAAAGAGAAGCATCCCAAGACAGCAATTCTAGAGCGTACATCACAGAACGTTTATACAGGAGCGCTTCCGAGCTTTCAGACTCCAGTCCCGCGCAAGCAACACGATACAAACGCGACTGTAGGGGGGAGACTCGCGGCCGCATCAGCGGGCACGACGAGCCCTATGCATATCGAGAAACACCGCCCCACGAACAACAACACGCGCGACCACGATCCCATGCCGCCTCCCGCGCCCCACCTCGAAGTGGTTGAGGTGGCTGTGGCTCTTGACGTTGTTCCGGATGAAGCTCATCTGAAGCGTGGCCTGCGGGTGTTTCACGATCGTCGGCGCCACCACCACGGGGGCCACGGGCTCCTGGGTCTGGTTGTCCAGCTGCACCCAGCCCACGACACAGCTGCCCCTGGTCACTTCCTGCAAAAGAAGCGGCGAGCGAGGTGCTCCATTTCAGAGAAATAAAGCACACGCAAGTGTGTGCTTCAAGCGTGGTATTCTCGTCGATGTTCCCGCACGTGTACGACACAAACGCAGCAAAGTGCGGGGTAGGCAAGTAGGGACAGATGTGGAGTCATCGAACTAGGAAAACAACAACGAGCCGAAGACGCCGAAGGGGATCGTGTTGTCTCTTGCACCACGAAACACCTTTTGATAGGAGGATAGCAGCGACAAATCCCTCTTTGGCACGAGACATCAGGAGACCGCGCACGAGATGCAACATGTTGCTAACAAATGCATCAAAACTCGAGAGGTAAAATATGCGCACCTGTGACTCGGCGTACCGGCCGTCTACATCCTTGACGGAAAGGTGCAGCAGCTCCTTGGCACGCCTGGTGAGAGTACAGAACAAGGTGACGTTTTGGACGCCGGCAGGATAACCGCAATCAAGATAGAAAAGAAGTTGTCATGATCATCATCAGGGCAACGAAATGACATCACGACATGAAATCCCTCACACAATTTAGCCCGCATTACAATACGGTCGGTCTTCACCCCCTCGCTATACTATTGCTGAGGTTTGAATCAGTGCTAAATAATAGGGAAGCCAAGCTGCATGACTAGGGGAGGGCGCGGTGGCTGGTCATCGGGTTGTTGCTGACGGACAAAAGCCGTGAGACACGTTACATACAGCGACGCTACTTGTTTCGACTGCTATTGCTATTTGAAATAACGCACAGACCGGCGGGCGCTAAACAACATCGGCGCGCCCCCCGAACGAATTCATCCAAACTCCCAGATTGCGATAACCTTACTGACTATCGTTGGGGGTCGGGGGGGGGGGCACGAGGATTTCAGTAAGAAGAAGGGTCTCTGATTCTGCCTGCGGAAACAAGCGTACCCCGCTTGCAGCAGACCGTTGGCTCCGCGACAAGAGCCAGAAACCAAAAGGCGGTGCTTCGTGTCGAAACCAACAAGCATAACGCAACCAAGCAAACTCACTGGTTGTCGACGAGGGACATGGACACCTCCCCGAGAAGAGCGCTAACGTACGACCGGCTGCGACCCTGCGACGACGCCGGCCCGTGCCCGTCGCTGTCGGACTCGGACGAGCTGGGGCTCCATCGAGCTGCGAGCTAACATTGAACATATACGTACGAGAGAGGTGAAAACAAAAGAAAAACAGAAGCGGGGTGAAGGGACGCCATGAAACAACATTATCGCGGACGGCACGACAAGCCAGGTTGAGCTACTACGTTCGTTGTCTTTACCCGCAACATGGTTCACCCATGGCCACATGATTTCCGTGGCAACAGAGCGTCTCAGAAAAAAGGCGACCGACACCTGAATACAATCGGGGGCCCTCGACTTTCGGGGCAACTGCGTCTCAGGCAAAAAGGCGAGGGACATCTATATAAAACTGGTTGCCTCAAACACCGCGGCGGCACAACGGGTTGAACAGGATAGGGATAAGTTCGCCACCAGCGGCGGCGGTCGGGTCCTTGCGATGCCAAGGGTGCGACTCTGCCACACGAATCACAACTTTCATCAGACACCCGAACGAACACGGTTACAATTTCCGAGCTTTAAGGCTGTGTCATTTCGCAAGAGACATTTCTAACGGAGAGAGAGTGTTAGCGATAAAAAGCCATGGGCGAGAACAACTCTACCTGAATGATAGGGTTATAGTGGGAGAAGTCGGTGGCCCTCCGCTGCTCCATCGCAGTCGCCCATGTCCCTCCGTCGCTCCCGCCGCCGCCGCTGCCGCTACTGTCCTCAGGCCCTGTGCCGAACTGTTCGTCTTCCGGCTTGTGGGCCGGAGGGGAGAGGGGGTACCAGCGCTGAGGTAGAAGAAGGACAGGGGGGGAAGGGAGGACGGGCGTGTATGGAGCGTCAGCATCTATCTCCCAGCGGTGAGATACGATGGGCAGAGAGTCCGAGTCAGTCTTTCACGTGTGGGACACGGTGATGAACGATCTCGGAACAAAATGGCGTACCCCCCTGCTGGGTAAGGTGAAAAGCAGTCCTGCGAGCAAAAAAACACGAAAGTGCAAAGGCGCGTTGAAGCGCTGCCTCTTTCGACCTATAGCTAGATGGTGTGATGAACATTGCCACCGGGTGTTGGAGGGAAGGGTGCTGCAAAGTACTGATAGACCTGTGGTGTTCTTGTAGACGCAGGCTTTCCCCGGTGATGGCGTCGGGCAAGAAATAGTGACTCGTGCTGGTTGGCAGGACATGTGTGCTCCGCCCTACTCCGAGCATATACTGTATCAGATGAAGAGCTTGCCTTTCTCCGTGAAGCACCAACAACATTTCTTTCCCCCTGCCCATCCTCGATGCGGCAAGAAGCACGCATTGTTCGTTGGTCATGGGACACCATAGAATGACACTCGCCGGCCTGGTATGTTCAAAGGTACTGACTGCTGCATCCTCTGCAGCGCGATACCATCCGTGAAATCGCAGCGCACGCCCCTTCGTAGCCAAGACATCTTCTGGAGTCTCACCAAACCGCATACAAGTACAGAGTGTGAGGACCACGTAACAGTCACTCAAAAATTTGAGATGCTGCTGCAACCGCTTATCTTGAGAGGGGTCGGTCGCAAACTGACTATATACCCTTTGAATGCACAATTCTCGCCTGGTACTCCGATCTCGCCCTAAACGAGCAGCAGTCGATCAGCCCACCGAGCTGCAGGTCAAGGCGGCCGATCTCAACGTCCGCGCGCAAGTCCGTCACGCCCATCACGCCCACCTCGGCGAAAACGCTCAAGCTGGCGAACGGGTGTGGGGGGGCACGGGTTGGGTAAGGTTACATTGGCTAAAGGGTTGGTTCAGAAAAGTTGACCCGGGAGCGCTTAGAGCATTTTCATTCGTGCTTGCTTGGTAGAATGTCCTTGCTGTTGTTTGCTAAACACGCCCGTCGTCGGACCGACATCGTCAAAACATCCGAGGCCCACAAAGAGGAACGCATGCCTGGGCAGGAGAAGAAATAGATATCGTGTGCGCGTGGGGTGCGATGCCAAGTCGAAGACTACTTTCGACAGCAACACATCAGCGACAAAAAAGCAACAAAAAACATTTGCCAAGCCGTTCTGAACACACGTTCAGCCAAAGGCAGCACATACCTTACGGCAACGAAGAGCCAAACAGCTGCTAGTAGACCCGCACAAATCATCACTCAAACCTAAAATATGACACAACGTACCTAAGGGTGCCAGAAGCCTCCAAAGCCTCCACCTTAAACTCGCACACGGGCTGGTTGCGGTCCCAGGTAGGGGCGGCCGCGACGTTGGCCTTAGTGCTCTTCCACACGAAATTTCCCCGCTGCAGATGGGTCTGCACGACCACGTACACTCGCCGCTGTGTATCGGCGAGATGCAGCGCCTGGTGCATGCGTAGCACACGGCGCGGCAAGGTTGACCGAGGTTATCATCGAGACCGAGGCCGATGGAAATCGAGGCCGATTCAAGGGGGGAGGGGGGGGGACGAGAACACCGATCGGGGGGGGGGGCTGTACTCATAGTCGTGCATGCCGTAGTCGTTTAGACCATTGACCTCGCATCCTTAAAAAGCCGGGACGGAGCACGCCGGGTTCTCACCGGACCAGGCTCTCACATCACCAAGCGCGAAGCGCCGTGAGGTATTCAGCGGGTCGCATGAAGGGTGTTCGGCATCTTGTGCTTTTTTCCTTGCACACAGATGGCGGCTGCGTATGACTTAATTTATTTTCTGGTGCTTCACTTCCAGAGACAGTTGTTAGCACTGTGTAACTGCCTCGAGGGTGCTTGACCATGTTGACACAACGTGGTGCGATCGTCCCCCTTGCGCGGAGTGAGGGTTCTCCACCCCGCACAACATGATCTACTCGACCACCATTATGGTTGCCGCCAAAAAAAAAACAGAGGAAAAAAACAAACGGTAACCTGGTTGCCGAGTTCACGAAGTGAATGGCTTGTTTTACAACGTCGTTGCCAAGCGACGAAAACCCAACCCCGATGGGAAACACCGGGGAAGGGGGGGGGGGGGGGGGGGGGGGGGGGTACGTGCTCGTCGAATCCGGACCACAGTAAAAGCAGGGGGGGACTCCCATCATTCGCGCTTGTGACGTATCATGCANGGAGGGGGGGACGAGGTAAATCGCAAATACGTACCGTATATACGGATGTCGGGGATAATCGGCGGTAGCTACTAACGACTGGCTTCGTTTTCTTGGCGGATTGGGGTAGACGCTGACCGCTGTTACTTCACAACAACAACAACAACAAGCAAATACCCCGTTGCTAAGAATGGCCAATACACAGAGAGCAAGGGAGGACGTCGGGCTCACAAAACGCCTCCGTCAGGAGGGACGAGCACGTGCTCATTGTCGACGCTCATTGTCGATATCATTTTCCTTGCCTGGAGAGGCTGTATCCGGAGAACACCGCCATCCCGCATGACTCGCTGGTGGCTCAGGTCCATCTCACACACCACGGCCTCCCTCGTGTGCCGCAGGAGGTCCTTCAGGCTCGGCCGTTGAAGGAGGGGCAGCATGGACGCCTGGCGGGAAAGTAATGAACCATGCCACCGCAGGAGAAGATAAATAAAGAGCGGGACAGACACGACAAGTATAAACGGTTCCGGGAGACAGACCTACCAGCAAAACCGGACAAAAAGCGACTCAAGAAATAGAAGCAGAAAAATGCATGGCCGACACCGGATTTCGCAAGATCCATTGGTGGTTTGCTGCCGCTCAAACCCCGTCTGTTCTTCGTCAGGCACACACCTGCTGCTTGTACTTCCACAGGGGGTCCCTCTGTCGCGCCAGCTCCGCCTCCGCAGCCGCCGCGGCAGCAGCCGCGGCAGCCTTTAACGCTGCAGCTGCCGCCCCCGCATCTGCCGCCGTCTCGACCTCGCCTGCCCCGATGCCGGACCACGCCTCCCTGGGATCAGCAGCACCGTGGCTAACTACATCGGCCACCATTTCCTGCTGATGGTGCGTCATGCCGGTTGTAGCGGAACGAGTTGCCCTGGTAGCGCCGCTGCCGCCACCGCCGTCGTCCTGCGAGACCGTTGATACTAACCTGGGCGTGGTACGGGTGGGTCTGCCCGCTGCTGATTTTCCTGCCGATGCTGCTCTGCTGCGGCCGCCGGCGCCCCCGCCGCCGTTTCCCTCGGTGGCGCTATCTCTGTCAAGCCCTCGTTCAAAGAGAGTCGTAGCGTCTTCGACGGTGTTGTCCTCACCGGCGCCGCCGCCGGGTGCGCGTGGGGAAGCGAAATTACTTGCCGTGGTGGCGTTGACGCCAACCTCGGCGTTACCTGCCGCCGCGATAAGGTCTACCGCGCTGTTGTTGAAGGTGCGTGACCCTCTCAGCGCGTTGGCGCGCACCTGGGAGGTAAAAATCACGGGAGGCGGGAGAGGGGGGCATTTGGTGTGGAATATGAGCGGGATGGAGAAGAAGCCAACATTTTCTAGGAACCACGGTGTCTCGAAGGTGAAACACACCAAAAATGAATTTTCTTGAGGGCCTCCTGCACCCGTTTCGTGCTAGGGCAACATCCACGTTTGCCATTTTGCATTGGGGTTAGCCATGGCCCAGCTCTCACAGCGGCAAAAATAACGCCGCGACCGACGCAAGCGTTCCTCTGCTCAGGGCGGAAACGAGCAATACTGGGTACATTCAAAGACCATAACTGCCGAACTCCCTCGTCCTTCGTTCAAATGGTCAACGATGCACAGGGTTGGGCGTGAATGCCGTACGTGAAGCTACCCTCATCCACGCGGCGGGAAAGACGGCCAGGCCAGCACACGACACGTGCCCCAACATGATCATCGCGCACGACTAAGAGACAGACAGACAGACAGACAACGTGCCTGAAGGTTTGCTTGCGCCTGCCGTTGCCGGAAGCTAAGCTTCCTCGTCAACCGTTTCAAGCCCCTGGTCTGCGAGGATGTGGATCCCTCCGGCCCAGCGCTGGGAGCCGGAGATCCGCCCGCGCCGCGATCGCGTTGCAGGCCCTGCTTGAAATCTACAACTCCTCCACCGGTGCTGTTCGGAAGCGGGGACGGCGACTGCGAGTTGCTGCCTGATGAAAAAGAGCGAACACGCGGGCATACGGGCACACCAGTTGAAGTGGGCTATATTGTTTACTATTAAGACGAAGTTAAAACATATAACACTTGTCCGAAACGTCAAAGAGTTGGTGCAAAACCTTTAGTCCTTCGTCGAACTTGGAATGTACCTTACCTTGGGTTGAGTTGCCGATCCATCTCAGAATTTGTTTATCCATCGGTTCCAAGCTGCGGGAAAACACAACCATCACCGCAACGACGGGCACGCATTGCCAGGCAGGGAACAGCTTAACCCCTATTTGTTCAGCACCCATCGATCGCCAATAACCCTCGATACAGCAAGATCAAGAGAGGAACAGAAACACGGCCAACATCAGTTCTCTCCAACGGCTGTCAGATCACCGATTTGGCCGAGCATAGATATGAAATAGTCCCGACCGAACTATACCTTTTTCGACCGTCAAAGCGCCCACTGCTGCCGCCGCCGCGCTAGCCGGCACCGCGCCCCTCAGAGTCCACGCCGACAGCCGCCTGTCGCCCATACTGATGGACGACCGCATGCGCCTGGGACTTAAGGACGCCAGCGATAGCAGAGAACTTTCCGCCTGGCCGCCACCATTGGCGTCACCACCACCCACACGAAGCCCCTCGGCGTTGATGCTTGACCCTGGCCCCCCTCCCCCGCTGGACGGCGAGCTCAAGGGCGCGACAATTCTGCTGCCGTAGCCGTGTGCGGTCGGGCTCGCCGGCGTCAGGGAGTTTGCGCAGGCGAGCTGACCGCCGGGCATGGGGATAGTTGCGCCACCCCCTCTCAGCGGCGACTTGAAGGGCGGCGTCTTGCGGTGGTCCCCGTGGGCGCTGCCTGTGCCGTCTTTGCTGTCGGAGCCGATGCCCTTGAAGCCCATCTTCTCGAGGTGCCTCTTGAGCCGGGCAATCTTTGAGTTCTCCTTCCGTCCGCGCACCTGTATGTGTACCAAAAACGACGTAGCCGCAACGATTGGGTGATATGGGTACGAAAAGGAGAGAGGGCGGGTCAGGTACGCCAGTCTGGGAAGTTGTCGTCACTACTAATGTGCAACAGCATCAACACCAAGGAGCTTGTCACGCCTCGCATAACTTACCCCGGAGGCCTTGACAAACAAACGACACGTTTTCAACACCCACTGCTCAGAAAAAAGCTGACATACCGTCATGCCGAGCTGAGTTTTTCTATCTTTCGCCTCCTCCTTGTTGAGCCTCTCGATGAGCAATCTTGTCCGCTGCAGTCTAGCTTCCACGGTGCCCAGGAACAACTGTTGGTTTTCAAGTTGGCGGAATCCCCGAAGCACGACAGTCGGAGGTCCAACGCGGGAACGAGAAGAGATAAAAATGGGGAGGCTTGAGAACCGGCCACCAACACGGATCAGAACTACCGGCAGGAGCACACGCCAACGCAGCCACCTACCCCAGTCCTCGCCAGTTGGGCTCGTGGCCACAGCAGCAGCAGCAGCAGCAGCAGCAGCAGCAGCAGCAGCAGCAGCGGAAATCATGAACGCAGCACCAGCATCACGCTCGCCTCTTCTTCACACACGAGGAAACAACCGTCTGATGAGCGAATAAAACCACACACACGCAGAGCTGGAAGACCGGCTTGCCCCCCCCGCGAAAATGGGGGTGCATCCATACATACACAGTCGGTTTCTTGTAGCCCCACCCAAACACCACCCACGCGCCTCACCCACCTCTAGATCTCGAATCCGAGAGAGCAAGAGCGCCTCCAGCGAGAAGACCCATTGGACGCGAAGCTTGACTGAGCCTGTGATCTTGTCCCCGGCGGCGAGGTGCATAAGACGGGAGCTTCGGCGATTGAGGGGGAACCAACCCACGTGCTCCCTCTCGTCCTGTCTCGTTTCGCGTCGTCAGTTTGGGGGAACACAATGTCAGTTTCACGTCTTTTCGGTCATGTCACTGCTGTTCGCAGGTGGCACCTCTTGCAAACTTAACGCACAGCAGCAGCAGCAGCAGCAGCAGCAGCGAAGAGTTTAGCCACCAACAGAAAAAAAAGCAATACTCAGACCTCTCAACACGACCTCAGTAGCTAGCACTGCCGTTCAAACAGTCGAAATACTTTCGTGTTGAGACGATAGCAGGAGCAGCAGCTGCAGCAGCGAAGCGGTCAGTCACGAACAGAAAAACAAAAGAAAATTGGCCGTTCAATACTGAGCACTGCTGTACACACACCCGAAATGGGTGGTGAAAGTTTGAACGACAGTAGTAGCACCAGCGACAACCACAACCACCGACATGACAACAGCTCCAGCCTCGTCCGTCTCACACCTGAAGCAGAGACAACGGCACGTCCGCTTGCCCGAGGAAGTCATTCGGTCGAACCAGGTTCCGAGACAGAACCAGAACCCGCACGCCGTGGCCGCGCTTGCGCTGCACGGCCGCCGGGGGCACCTACAGTCAACAGATGATGGGAGTTTGGACGAGGGAATCGAGATTTTATGGGCTTCTTCGGAGCAACATGGGCGGCATCGAAAAAATTCCCAGCGCCTTCGCGATTGCGGAACACGGGATATCCAAACCTTGCGCAATAGCAGCGCGTCCAAAGCTTTTTCCAGGCAACCATATCCTGACTCTTCGTGCCCCTACGACCCAGTGCACAACAGCTCTTGGAAGACCGTACGGCCACACCAGCGGCGAGTGAATGGCAGGTGAAATTCAGAGGTAACGCTCAACTGTTGGTCTCACATCACAGAAATAAATAAATAGATCAAGGCCGCGGGGGGTGCGTGGGAGGAAAGCACGTGCTACACGCTTCCACGTATTCCGTTGTGAAACGTCGTGTTCCAAAAAAAAAAAAATCAGGAAAGCAAATAACTGCCTACGCACGTACCTTAAAAATGAAGCGCTGCCCGGACCACTTCGGGTTCAGCGTCTTCTCGCAGAAGTAGGTCTCCCCGCCCTGTCCCCGAAATCGGTCGTCAGCGGACTTGGATCCCCCGGTGGAGTCGGGAACTTTGAGGTAGCACACGCAGTAGGGGTCCGAGTAGCCCTGGAGTCCCGTGGGGCGAAGGCTTGCCGCAGCCAACACCTTGCACAGCAAACAAAATACATGACGTCATGAAATCATTGCTAAAATTACCCTGCATTCCTTTCTATTGCTGTTGGACATAGAAAACATGTTTTTGTTTTCGTGAAAAAAAAACGAACACGTCACGACATACCGTGCAAAAAAAATGGGCGAGATGGTATCAGGCAGGGAAGTTCAACATTTAGAGCGGATATTGCGAAAAGCAGCAAACAGCAGCAACCAGCAGGTCGAACGGGGTCGGGTCGAAATCCAGCCTGAAACACAAAATGTCATCAACAATTCACACGGACGAATACGGAATCCCATTGATAGTCGATTGATGGAAGGATGCCTACTGCTACGGTAGGTACCATGCTCGTCACGCCATCCTTCTACTGCCGCATAGCCGCTGACGCTGACACTGACGCGTGAGTGCTCGACAACAAAAAAAACACATGTCGGTATTCGAACAAGTGTTGGCTTTCACAGAAGTATGATCGGTGATCAAACGAGTGTTGGCTTCATTTTATGGGAAATGACTACAAGCAGGTGATCCCAACACAAAACCAATTGCTCTGGGACATGCTGAGACTCACTTCGACGAAGACTTGGTGTGTCTCCGAGATACCAACCCTCATCTCGTTCGCGAGCACACGCTCAGCGTCCAACACCTCCAGGACCTGAGGGCATATGCAGGCCGCACCACAGCAGAGCCAAGGGTGTGCGGTTTACGGGTGTACCCGGTCCAAGGAATGGCACCGGTGAGCGTTCAGAGATTGGTAGACAAAAAAGAAGGGACTGACCTGACCCCACGGAAAAAAGCAACAATATTCCTTACAAACGCAACCAAAACACCCCTCCTACGCCAAGTCAAAGGTACCTATCCGGTCAACTACCGTAGTTAGGGCTCTAACTTGAACGAAGGTCGGCCAGTGGCACTCTTGAAAGTATTCCCAACTAGCTCTTCGTTCTCCGGGCGATCATTTCGTTACAAACCACCCGACAATTTCGACAAGGCGGAATCATCGGTGCATCATTGAGGTCAACCCAAACACCTAACATATTAATAGTCGAATACACAAGTCTACAACGATTCCCTTTGCCGATCTCCGTTGTCCGGCGCGTCACTTGATTCGAAAAATTGACTGTTAGGGGACTCTTCGTCTGGCTGTTAACTTTATCGAGTCTATGGATCATATTGTTCAAACTTTTGTGTATCCTTTTTTGAAGTTAGGCTGCGGAGGGTGTCCGTGTCAGTTGAACCCGCACAGATACCCGAAGGCACTGATCAGAGATCGGAACGGTTTGTCAAGTGTCAAGACACACCAACAACAACAACAACAACAACAACAACAACAACAACAACAACAACAACAACAACAACAACAACAACAACAACAACAACAACAACAACAACAACAACAAAACGTACGGTTGGCAGAGCAACAGTGCTTCGCAAGACAAACACCTCGTCAACCGGAATACAACTAAAGCAGCAATGACCGGACCCACCAACAGTCTCGCTCAAAAGGCACGAACAAACTAGCACGCTATGCGCACCTTTGGCTCGTTCATGCCCAGCCTCCTCTCGAGCTCGCGCAGGTTCTTCATGCTCATCGGCCCCGTGTCATCAGCCGCAACGGCATCCGCCGGCGTTACCACCCCAGAATCCACCGGTAACAGCGCCAGCGGGTCTCCGCCTTGTCTCCGCCGCGAGGGAAAAGACCTAGAGCCCGCTCTCGGAGTATCGGCCTTTGACGACAACGACGCCGGCCTTCCGTTCTCCGTAGTGGTTTTGTTGTTCGGCGTTGCCATCGGGCTTCCAGAGTTGCTCCACACGCTGACGGCGGCGGCGGCGGCAGCGGGAGTGAAGTCGCGCCTCACAGCGGAGGGGCCCGTCCACGTCAGCGACACCGCCTCGGGAGAGAGCTGGCTGGATCGGCCCTCCAGCGCGGCCAGCGCGCGGAAGTACGTGCGCCGGCTCCTCTCAATGGCGTCTTGTTGACTCACAAACGCAGTGAGGTACCTTCAGAAGCCGGAACAAGTTCCGTTGTGTTGAGAAACGATAGGATGTGTCATGATTCACCGACAACAGAGGCATTGCGGGCGGAACAAGAGAAACGAGANCCAAGGGGAAAAAAACCAGTTCGAAAGAGTTGTGCGTCAAGGCGAAATAGAAACCTTCCACAAAAAGCGTTACCACTAGGCGCATTTCATAAACTAAAGGGCGGGAACGAAAATAAATTCCTTTGATCACTCGCCTCTACATACCACATACATACCCCAGCAGGCTTCGGTGTCGTCCAATGTCCCGTGCCCTCTCCCACTCACCTCAGGTATTTGTCTAGCACGAGCCGGCCCTGCTGCTCCTGCCTCACCAGAGATGCCTCCTTCGCCCCGAACGTCGAGATGGTCCGGCGGATGTCCTTGTGGCTCGAGATCAGCAGCACCCTCGTCCGGCCCTCCGCGCTCACGCGCGCGTGGATGTGCTTGGCGCCCGACACGCTACCGCCCCTCCCCAAGTCCGCCGAGGAGGACCTCTCGCCTCTCCCCGCCCCACCACCGACGCTGCTGTCGCTGCTGCTACTGTGGCGAGCCTGCCCGCCTTGCCCGCCCCCCCCCCCCCCTCCCATGCGGGCGCTATCGCTATGGTCCCATTCCCACTCGGGGAGCGGCAGCTTTTCCTCGGTACCGATTTCGTCCAGCCTGCGTGTCGATTACGCACGTTGGTGGTGCAATTGCAATGGTGGGAACAGTGGGTTTGGTCGCCGTGTTCTAGGGGTTTAGTTAGTGGTGTGCATATCTCATTCGTGCTACCCGGATGATTGGGGGCAGGTAGGTAGGTGAGTGCGTGGGCGGGTCGGTGCAATGGATCGGCAAAACTGTGGGGATATGGAACGCGCTTCATATGTACTTAACGGCTCGCCTCAGTGACGCAAGGCAGGCGGCGGTGTAGTACAAACACAAACGACCAACAGTGCCCCCCTAGACAAGACGACGCCTTCTCGACTCTCAGCACCCACCCGACCCCGCCAGCTGCGTGGTTTCGTCGCGAACCTCCAATCTATTCTCTCTGCTAACGCACTTTCAAACACACCTTTACAATGAATTGAGAACTTCACCAGATTTGGTACATACAGCAATAAGCAGCTGGTCCGACCTCCTACGTCGCATGACGGTGTGGGTGCGTGTATTTTGGGTGCTTGCATCGTGTGCACCACAAGAACACGGGGCAAATACCTGATGATCTTGATCGGCCCCGACAGCGTCCCCGTCTCCTCGGAGGAAACCCTCCCCACGCCCCAGGCCTGAAGGCGCGCCGCTGCCACGGCTGGAGCGCTGCCGCCGTCCCCGCGGTTCAGGTCTCCGCCGCGCAGGAAGTCCGGCCCCACCCTCACGAGCAACCGGGGAGGAAGGAGCGGCTCTTCCCAGACGTAGCTGGTTTCAGGAAGGATGGGGGGGTGCGGAATGGGGAATGGGCAGGAGGGGGGTGTTTCAACTGTTAGGGGTGTCAAAGCGGAAAATTTCCTATAGGAAAAAATTCGAAAAAGCGTCCTCGGATCTTGCTGATGGAAAATCGACCAACCAATGAAATTGCACGGAACCGTCGGAACCTCCCGAAAAGACCCTCTGACGCACACGCGCGAGGGCGCAGCTTGCCTGTGTGCTTTGCGCCCTGCTATGGGGCACAGCACAACACCATTGCGCGGTCCCACTCTAGAACACATGCCTCATGACACACCCGAGCAGCAGCCGGGCGGTGAAGCCACGCAGACACCTGCCGCCGCCGTTGCTGCTGCTGAAAAAAACAGCAGCAGCAGCAGCAGCAGCAGCAGCAGCAGCAGCGGCGGCGGCAGCGAGGTTGAGCCTGGCTCTCTTCCACAATTTTCTTGCTTTTGACCAACTCCTCCTTCGTTTCCTCCAGCGTTCTCTTTACGACGGTGAGGCTGCCGCGTTCGATAGCGCGCCGCGTGTTATCTTCTGCTGACGCAACAACCATACACTGCCCCGTCCTCTCTTCAAACTTCGTTTTGTTTTGATTCAGCTTTCGCGCAGCGCGCCTCCTGCTGCCGAACGGCGCGGACCTCGATTTTCTTTTGGGGAGGGTCTGCTGGGGTGGGCGCTGCAGCCCCACTGGAGGGGCCGTTTTCGGACATGCAGATCTCGAGGTTGGCTGACGCGATTCGGGCGCGGTTTGTTGTGCTGTATAGCTGTAAACCCAAGGTAGAGGACTGCAAGCTCGCTTTCACGAGAGGAGCAAACGGTCGCCTTGGGCGTGGAGCAAAGAGCCCAAAAAAACATATTTTTTTGTGTTGTTTGTCCGCCCTTGAAACTTCAGTAAAAACCGAGCTCGCAGTCACCTCTATTGGACCTGTGCCCAGGTGTGTGTAACNAGGTTGGCTGACGCGATTCGGGCGCGGTTTGTTGTGCTGTATAGCTGTAAACCCAAGGTAGAGGACTGCAAGCTCGCTTTCACGAGAGGAGCAAACGGTCGCCTTGGGCGTGGAGCAAAGAGCCCAAAAAAACATATTTTTTTGTGTTGTTTGTCCGCCCTTGAAACTTCAGTAAAAACCGAGCTCGCAGTCACCTCTATTGGACCTGTGCCCAGGTGTGTGTAACGCATGAAAAGCCATGCTGCTGTCTGGACGCAGAGCTTCCTGCACAAACAAATTGACTTGATGTATAGTTTATTCAGTATCAACAGCGGAATTCTCAAGAACCAAAAAAAAACAAATCCGCGTGCCCCCCTCAAATTTTGCCGAATGGACCGGACGTTTTTTTGGCCCCAAATTCCGTCGCTTTGACACCCCTAACTGTATTCTCAAGACAGTGCGGCTACACGACCAATGGGCGGCAGATTGCGTCCCAAGTTCAAAGCAGGGCGCCATTTTCGTGCCACAATTATCAAGGATATGTTGAAGCAGATGATAGGTGAATGCGCCACGGGTGTTGTTACTCTCCGCTGCTTCTCAAGCTGGCTACTATAATAGAGAGGGCACCTCCCCCGCAAAACCACAACAGGGACAAACGTAGGTGACGAAAGCCTTCTACAGTGCAGCACCTCTGTGGAACTGTGTTTCAAACAAGATCATGCCAAAACTGATTTATTATTATTATACCGGATTTACGATAAGTGTTGAAACAATTTTGATCAAGAGCCCCGTGCCTGGACACGGGCGCCAACTAGAACCGGGCCACCCACCCTTGCTTCTCCCCCGGCCCCACCGACTGCCACGGGCACCAATCGGCCCCCCTCTGCCTGAAGTACACTCGGTGGCTTGGATCGACGTTTTCCACCACGTACGGCACCTGTAAGTGGTCACGAAAAATATGGCAGCGTTGGAGGCAAACCCGGTAAAGGCCAAGGCCCAACGGTTATTTGTAACTTTTTGTTTTTCTTTCAAGCTTGTGGCCCGAACAGGCAAACCGACAGCTCGAAGTGGAACACGACGGCAAATCTTCGATTGTGTGGAGCACGAACCGGCCAGCCAGGGCAACCAAGGCTGACCTAGCTCCCCTAGTGTGAGCGGGTGCGCCCAAGTGTCCGACGCACCTGGGACGGGTCTAGCTGCCGAACAACGACCACGATTGAGGCCGCCAGGGGGCGCAGCTCCACGCGCAGCATCATCTCCTGGGGCTCCACCTGTGTATGCATGCATGTGTTGATTGCAGGCCAAGGAAATCGAGAAAACGAACACCCCAAAACACGAACGCCAAAGAACGCCGAGTGCGGACAAGCTCGTGAGCGACGGTGGGGAAACGGCTGGCGGGAGCAACGCGAACACGCCCCAAGTTACGACGTACCAATGGCATGCTGCTGGGTGATGACATATCATCCCCTTCAACGCGATACATGAATGCCTGAAAAAAAAAATGGGCGGTAGACAAGACTGATGAAATTCTTAAACAGCAAGCAACACGAACAAACATCCGTCACGTCCCAAGCCGACACCTACACGCCGAATCCTACCAACCAACCAGAGCATCGCCTACAAGTGCAAACAACGCCTTTGGTTACAGCAGTTATGATGACGTGAGCGAGAGCAAAAGAGAAACACAATAAAGCACAGTACCACGAGAAAAGACACATGTACAAACTCACTTGACCACGATCATCTTGGTCATCTCCGTCCATACCGCCACCGCCGCCGCCCCCGCCGGCAACACTCCCGCTACCGGCGTCGCCGTAGATGTCTTCCATGTCATCCTCGCCCCTGTCGGGGCCGCCGCCGCCGCCGCCGCCGCCGCCAAGGCCAGCCTCCTCACGGTCCGAGGCAGCGCCGTCGAAAAACACGGTGCCGCCAGACCTGATGCCGTGCGCGCCGCCGCCGCCGCCGCCGCCGCGGCCACCGTCGGGATGGTGGTCTTTCGTGTCCGCCGCCATGGTGTCTCTCCACCTCCGTGGAAGCGGCTGCGGCTGCTGGGTTGTGACGGGAAAAGGGAAACATGGGGAGAGAATCATCCTGCAACACGTTGTAACTCGCTGACGGACTACGCTGACTTGTGATGCCCAGGATGGTAGCAAGGACAAGTTGCGTTGTCACTTGCATGAGTTTTCAGAATATAGTGGCTGTTTGTTTGCGGGGATGAAGGTCAAAAACCAACGCGCTCTGAGGAACAGCAATAGACAACGAGGACGAGGCCAATCTAACGCACACAGGACAACAACAAAAACACATCCAACAACCAAATTTGTCAGGCACCTAAAAACACGACGCGCTGTTTTAAGCCCACCAAGGTGCCTTCCCCTCCCATGTGCCTTCCTCATGTTACACCTCTTGCTCACCAAGCCTTTCCGGCTGCGGTCGAGAGGATGAGCCGAGCCTGCCCTGATAGCTCCCGTCCCCATCCCTAGTCCTGCCGGGTGATTGGACTCGCCGTCGTAGCCCCGCATGCTGTCATCCCAGTGGTAGGACGACGTCCCGCCGGGCGAAGTGAGGCCGAAACCGTTTCTTCCGCCCAGCTTCCTGCGAAGAGCCTGGAATAATTTCGATCGCGGTAGTGAAAAGGAAGGCTGCGAATTGGAGTTACCAAGCGATAATGGAGGTAGTCACGCCGTGTCAACGGCCACATGGGAATTAAACGTGACGGCTTTTGCGGCTCCCCGCGCGGCCTGATAAGGATATTTCATTTCACGACTCCGCCGCAAACAAAGGAGTTGACGCCGCGTCGGCACGAGATGTTAGCATGCGGGGAGTGAGAATGTGCCCGGTATGTCCTGTTCAGGGCAATCGGCTCGACAGAGCGCGTGCGTTTTCGTGCGATCACACAGTCGTCTGTTCTACTCGTCAACTGCTTATGTCGTGTTAAATCCGCACGCCGAGAGAATAGCCAGTGCCACTTCAACTTCAAGTGAGCTTGAGCAGCAGCACGAATGTGCCTTCTTCTCTGTCGTTCATGACGCGACTTGGTCGAGAGCAGAACAAAGGCTTCATCACAGATCGAGCTTGTGGCCCCCCTCGTACCCGGCGATCGATGCCCAGGCGTATTCGACCGACCTTACTGTAGCAAGCCAAGCCTAGTCGAGACGAGTCGATCTCGTGCGGTCGACGCACCAACCTGCAGGGTGTATGTACACTGCAACGCTTGTGAGCGCAAGGGTGAATCCGGTGAGGTACGCCCCCTCTCCCTAGCAACGGGCCCCAAAACCGTCTGTGAGACACTGCTTGTCGAGTGGTCGAGACACGAAACACAACCGTGTGTTGAAAACACCGAGGCGCGCATAGATTCGCCACAAACACGACTTGACGGCGCTGTAGCAAAAACCCACTTCCCTGTCCACAACCGTCATGGCTTTGAACCGACGATGACTAAAACCCGACGCACGGTTGCGTACCTTCATGCGGAGCAGGCGGTAGCGCTCCTCCATGGTGCGGAAGCGAAGCAGGATGCACGGGTCCTCGCGAAGGCTCTTCTTCATACTTTGCATGATGCTGTTGAAAGGGACTCCTTGCACGCTCACGTTGTTGATGGCAATCAGGGCATCGCCGACCTGAGAGGTGGATACAGACGGCGGGGAAGATGGACAGAGAGAGAGAGAGAGAGTCGCAACCAACGGTAAAAAAAAAACAAATCGACTACTCTCATTTGCTTTGTCGGTCCGTAGCCTATCGTCGGAATTTACGGCTCTGAAGCACATTCCAGAAAAGGCAGCAGCCAATCGGGATGGGTTGTGCACGATATAATTGCAGGTTGCCAACAACAGAGGTCGGAAAATCCAGTCGTTGGTTACATGCATAGAGGGAGGCGTGGGTGTCTTGACCGCTTAGCTGGGCGGCACAACAACACAAAAGATACGAAAGTATCATTTGATCCCCCCACGTGAATGTCGGTGCTGGTGAAGGCGTAGCTGTCCTTCTTGATCTCCTTGATCACCGCCTGCTTCCGGTACCAGTCCGTCTCCAGCCAGATGCCCACATCCTGTAGTCCCCGTCGAACGATCAAGCAGCAACAACAAGCAACACTCTGAATAACCATAGACAGGTAGGTTTCTTACGCCAACGAAGCTTGTGGATGTAGTTTATCCCCCCCAACTTTGGTATTTCTGCGTGTACTAGATGGTCGCAAGCTTCCAAAGTACAACAAGCAGTGCACTGTACGGCACGGCATGGCGCGGCAAAGAAGGGCAGCGCAAGGCCGCAATAATGATGCGCATCATACCAGCACAGCGCACAACAGCAGAGTACAATAGCAGAACATCGTACGTCCTTTCGGCTCACCCTGTGGGAGTGTTTTCTCCGTCATCAGGGAGGTGAACGGCCAAAAACACAACCGGAGAGGCTCAGAATGACAGCAGTCTCTATTCATCACCGGCCTGGCAAGCCCTTAGAAACACAAAGAGGCGAAGCAAACACAACCTCTGCAGCACATGACACCCCACCAAGGTGATTTCGTTGTTGTCCGTTGGTTGGTTGTTGTCAGCATAAAACCGCGGTACTGCTCTCAAAAGGAATAAGGAGCTCTAGGGGTCGGGAAGGGGCAGACAAAAAAAAAAGGAGGGATACACACACATGCATCAAATCTATGCGCACCTCCATCTGAGGAATCACAACGTCATACTCGGAAGACCTCCGCGTGGAAATGTGCTTGAGCTTGCTGACGTCCACCTGGCGGGTAAGGCGCAGCGTGTACTCCCCGACGCTATCCACAGGGAAGGACGCGCTGAGCTTCCACCCTCCTTCCACCTGCAACACAACAAGCCAACAATTGAACCACCACGAGCAGATAAGACCACCATGTTGCCGGGCAAGCCAATCCATCATGCGCTTAAAACAAACATAACACTTGACCGTACCATTCCGGGGCAAAAGCACGGCTGAAATCACGACGTGTAAGGGCGACCCTAATTAGGATGCGCTTCCAAAGCGTTTGCACGTGACATTATTCAGCAGCAAAATACCCCCTGCTGTTGCAAAACGCGTCATGGCGTCGAGGTACTCATGAAAACTGACATATCGTTTCGGGGAACGCAAACGGCACCATAGGTAGAAGGCTCTCGGGGGGAAGACATATCGCCCTACACGCCCCCCCCCTGCACAGCAGCCAAACAGCGAGGTCAAGCACGCCTCTGTCTCACGTAACTCCAACGGTGGAAAAGGACAACGTTCAGCGAGCCTCGACGCCCTGTACAACTGAAGCAACCCCCTACGCTGCCGCGAATAACTCCATTCTAGTCTGGGATTGGCACCGCGACTCTTGTTGCGTTTCGCAAGACGGAGATGGACGCGCACCTTAACGCGAAGCTCTCGCTCTCCGCCCGTCTGCGGCAGGTGAAACGGTTGCCCGCTGCCTGCAGGGACTGGAACTTGTGAAACCCTCTCTGAGCGTTGCCTGTCCCGTGCGCGAAACGGTTCCCAAGCCACATCATGAGGGTTGGTGTCGGGCAAGAGAAAGAGAAGCAATCTACGTGTTGCGGTGCAGCAGTTCCGCGTTTTGAACAAGGCATGCCCTTGCGCCAGCGGTCTTTGTCCCCATGCAACAAGCATACATTATCAGCTATCGTTGCTGTTCTCCGCAATATTGTGGGTCCGTCGGGGTGACTTTATGCTGTAGCGGTGACGTCTGCACAGGTACAGCTATTTTCGTTTCAGCCGGAGACACTAAAGCAAAGATGCTACTCTACGTGACAGCCAAAATCAGGGAACGGATTCGCGGGTGGCAACCTCAAGCGAGTCGGGCCTATAGCAAAAGCACAAACTAAGAACAATCTGGCTGCAGACCTGTGCGTGACATGGGTTTTTTATCTAGTACCTGAGGGTCAAGTTCTGCTCCAGAATCAAGGCCTGCGGCAGGCGATTGACCACCAGCAGTCTCGGCCAAAACTGAACGACTTTGGTAAACTGCCCCAGGCGGCCCGGCGGCACGACAATGGTGAACCCAAGCTCCAGGGTGCCCATTTGCGGGTGTCGCACGCTCAGCACCTGACCGGACGACCAGAACGTGCCGAAACAGGAGACAAGAGAACGGCCGAAACAAGAGAGAAGCGAACAGCCGACAAAACGTAGGCATGCGCGAATTCACCACAAATTATATCCCGGACTCCCAAGCTTCTATCTGCGGGTAGAGATGAAGCTGTCTTGTTGTACGAACGTAGAAACAAACATGCGCGCAATAACTCCTGCGATACAGCGCACTCGGGTCCACATATCTTGTATGCCCCCGGGTGAAAAAATAACATCTCCAATTGAACCGCATCAGTTGTAGAATAGGGCCAAACGTTCCGCCGTCATGCTTCGGCCGGTTGTCGCAGCAACGAAGACGACGAAATAAAAAAAATCGGACGTGAGTGGAGCTAGATTTGGGGATCATCGTGGCACTAGTCCACGCCACACAAAACTTTCTTGTATGGTCGTCCAAGGACTCCTCATGCTCGGCTGCTCAATGCCACACGTTGACGTCTACGCTTGCTACTAGCGTGTGGATGCCAGACACACACTGCTGTATGCATGGTCGAACAAACCTGGTTCACGCCGACGGTCTCCATGCTGAACGGCTTGCTCCACTCGCTGTCTTCGACCTGAACCAAAAGCCAGATGTACACGTGGTCAAACCAATGGATTTTTCGACTTCCGACGAAAGATTTCTGGCCTCGCGCCACGGGTATCCATGTTGGAGGAACCAATCCCCACGAACGATTCAGCGGAACGTGTTGATCCCTTGGAAAAAATGTGAAACTGATCACAGCGCACCCGATCCCTGCAGTACCAAGTACATAGTACCACAACGCGATTCAACCCCATGCAACCCATGATGACACGCACGTATGGTTGTAGGCAAGGCTCAGGGTCCTTGCCCTGCATGGCTACCGCAAAGTCAATCGTACATAATTCCGCTAGGCCTGTGCACGATTGAATTGGCGCTCGTCACTGAGCACAAACGCCGTTCACACTCTTCCCGATGGCACTGGTGCTAAGGACGATTCGTTTTTTCGAGGCCGTCGACGCGGAAAGCAATACAGCACCTGAACAACAGCCTTCCGCTCGCCCAGTCCAAGCACCCCAGTCTCCACGAAATTGAACATGAACGCCAGAGACACGAGGTCCTTGAGGCTCAAGCTTTCCCTCAGGAAACTCTCCGGATCGGTCGCCGCCCAGGCCCCTGCCCCGCGCCCGTCGCCGCTACCCCCGGCGGCCCCGCCCGCGTTCTCGCCACTACCCCGAGGAGGCCCGGCGGCGGCAGCAGAAGCAGCAGCAATAGCCCTTCCTCCGCCCGCGGTAGCGTGCTGCTGCTGCGTCCCGGTGTTATCCTGGCGCGCAGTAGCGCCGCCGCCGCCGCCGGTGGCGATCATGTCCGCCGATGCCCCTTCCCGCTGTTGGAGGTAGCTTCTTCCCAAATCGGCACCACCGATAGCTTTCCCGGTGTTGCCGTCTGGGATGGCGGTCATGGCCACTGCCCCCGCTGATGCTGCTGCTGCGGACAGCGAGTATTGTTGGGAGATATCTCGGGCCGCCGCCTGCGGCGGAACGACCCCTCCGGGCGCCGGCGGCGAGGAGGACGCGGAGTGAGAACCCCGAGCATTCGGGATCACCCATGGGGGCAGGGAGGTCCCGCTGCCAACTTCTCCCCTCGCAGGCGTGTTGAAGCAGCTGCTCTGTTGAGATTCCCTGAAGAAAGAAAAACATGGGTTCATTCGAGCGCAGCACAACAATGGACCAAAAGGGGGGGGGGG